AAAAATGAAATTTGCTTAAATTAAGATGCATTTTCTTTTAAATTTAAATCAACTCTTATCTCGAAATTAATAAATTAATTAATAACTTTAAAATGAAACGCAAAATAATCCACGGGTAAGTAAATAAAATTTAAAAATGTGTTTAATATTAAATTATTTATTTAAAAAGTCTATTAAAATTGAGTATCAAAATATTTGAATTGTTACTCAGTTCAGCTTCTGTTATTTTTTGGATGACTGCATATTAGCCAGTCAATTAATTTTTGTGAGATTCTTCCCATGTCGAAATAGGTATATAAAAAATGTCAAAGTTTGCTTTAACAATAACTCTTGCTTACCTGACCGTGGATGGCTTCTACTTATCTTCCAAGCTTCATAACTTGGTCAATATTAGCCATAAATTTTGAAAAAAATATTTTTAGACTGAATTTATAAGGGCTTTTAAAGGCTTTCAACGAACATTAGTCCGTAAGGGAGCTTTCGAACAATATGTATATCATTTGGCTGGGTTAGAAAGTTACAATGTTGGCAGTGTAATTAGCAGATAAAGATAGTCTGTTTCGAATAGGCTTCGGCTACAGTTTTAGGTTCAATTCCTATATATACTTTTGCATAACACTACTATCTATTCTTTCTCCAACTTATCGGCGCTAACCCATATTACTATAGTATTTATTTTTGTAGATTTTGTGTCCTTTGTGATTTTTTATAAGTCGGGGGAAATTATTTTTTGAGGATTTTTGTGGTATTTTGAAGCGTATGAGGTTCAAGCATAATTACAAAGTATTAAAAAATTTATAAATTTTAAGGTAAAGGTTAATAGAATTTTAATTGGGATATGGTTTCCATGGCGCAATATCTTATTTTTTGTAAGCCAAGCAATGCTTAGGCTAAACTTTGCCACTAATACGCAAAATTACTCGGTTAAAGAGCGATACTCAAAGACCGAAATAATCGATGAAAATACGAGTCAAGAATCAACTCTTGGACACAAATTCGGCCGGGCCGTATAGAAGCGATATTGCTGCGTCTGATTTAAACAGATCCCTGTCCCGACTTTTCTCTGATATTCCCCTTAGATTAATCGAGACCTAAAACCAATCCTTTTCCGATCCAAAAGCGAATCCGAAGAAATTTCAAAATCAAGACCCTTCGACTTAATATAATTATACCTTTCTACAAATATTTGCAAAATTAGCCTAAGCATTGCTTGGCTTTCAAAAAATAACACAGGAGCAACAAGCCTACAGTACTTGTATTTAAATTAATTTTTATTTCTAACTAAATTAAATAATTAATACTTTTTTGAAATAATAATAGACCTACCCATAATACTGGTAAAAGGATACAGAAATCAAAACGATCTGTATGTCCTCAAATATGGGGCTCCTGTTGTGTCCGCACTTGCACACACTATAACAGTTATAGTTGTCCACAACTATAACTGGGCTGAGGATATATATATATAAATTTGCTAGTCTCTCATCTCATTTATCTATCATAAATCGAGTTACTCTGCCTATATTGTTTATCATGATCGATGTTCGAATCAAAATTCGACTTGGAATTGGTACAAAGTATTAGTCCATCCTCTCTTTCGGGAGTGAGTAGGGTTGTCGGTTCTTGGAAAATTATATAGGCGTATCCTGTAAATTTTCTTGTGAATGTCGTTCATTGTGTTACGTAATATTCATTTTATTATTATTTAGATTTTATTAGCTTCAAATTTATTTAATTAAGCGAAATTTGATGGCCGGTGATTCATTTTTTTTTGGAAGCTGAACATTATTCGGCTAATATCTCTGTGGGTCATACATAAGAATGTTTCTAACACATCACCTTCGGAACTGAAGGTAGTTGAGGTATAGAGTAAGTAATGTGTGAATATGGTAAATAGGGTGCCGTTTTCTTTTCGAGCCGAAGTTCGGTGCATTTTTCGAGCCTAGTTTTTTTTTGATACACGCCTCGTAAGACTAAATTGGACTGACGTATGAAGCAACATTTTCAAATCTCAATGTGGCTTCATATGAATCGAGATTTGAAGTTTTGCGCACCGCCCTTGTAATACGTATGTTATTTATTTTTGAGGATACGAAAATAACATTTTATCCAAAGTAGAACGCTTGAAGATCAAGTAGACTGCCTATATGAGAAAACTACTCTACATCATTACTGCAATCATTTATTAGCTGAAGATTGTTCAGCTTCCAAAAAATAAAGATGCAAGATGCCGCCTGTGTAATTAAAGAATACATGATGGCATTTATGAATACTTAGATATTAACAAATAGATATTGTATAAAAATCTTGCATTTAACCAAGACTTGGATTTGATGCTGGCGGCAGGATTAATTTAGAAAGTTCATTTAACCTCTAGTTTGTCAATTGACCCTGGAGGTCAACTTAAATTATTTGGATTAAGAAGAATTTTTGAGAAATAATTTGGATAAAGAATTTGAGCGGATTAAGTTGGACTTGTTGGGAGTAAGGGAAAGAAACGGAAACTTCTCTCATGCTACCGTCAGGTAAAGCAAAGGCGAGAAACCAAAGTTTATTGATATTGAGTTTAGAGTAGGGTTTGACCCCGACCCCGTACCCCGAACCCCGACCCCGTTCCCGAACGATTTTTTCACGATTCTCCCCGACACGAACCCCGCCCCGAAAAAAAGTGAAAACCCCGTACCCCGACCCGAAAAGTTTCGGGGTTATCGGGGTTTTATATACCCAAAAAATGCCATTTTTGGGAGAATTTTAAGAGAAAAATTTTAAATTTTCCTCCCAATTTACATTGCTTTTATTATTTTTGAAAGAAAAATGAAAGAAATATCAAAATTCTTTTTCATTATCTGTAAGGAGACTTGTGGTTGAGTGGTTTAGTTGTAGGTTTTAGCCTATATTTCCATCAATCTAGGATTGGGTTCGGATCCAAATAGGCAGAACTCGTTTGTTTTAGGATTTTTCTTTACAAAATCAACAAATTAATTTTAATTTAACATGTAAATCTTATTTTTAAATATTATCAATTATAAAAAACAATGTAAAGATTTTTTGTTTAGCTAAAATTTCAAAAATTTTCTTGGAAAGAAAATTTTTGAAATTTTCTTGGCTTTTTGACCTAAAAATTTTGAAAATTTTCGCCTGTGGCTCTGGAAATGTAAGAAATTTGGCTTTTTGGCCTTCCAAGTTTCTCAAAATTTTCGCCTGCGGCGCAAAAAAAACGAAAAAATCTGGCTTGGCCTTATAAAATTCTCAAAATTTTGCCTGCGGCGCAGAAAAGAAAGAGTTACCCTGATATCCTCCAAATCCCTAATCACTCGATAACCCTTAAATCAATGATATCCCTTGAAACTACCCTTAGTCCCTACAAATCCTCTTATATCCCCAGATATCCGCTTTAATCACCTCCAGATCTAATTAATCACTCCAATTTCTTTTATTTCCATTTAATTCCACCTTATTCTCATTAATTTGTGAATAGTATATTAACGAAAATAGACCCAAAATGGCTCATTTTTAGAGCATTTTCTCTTTAAAAATTTTTTCCTAAAACCCCGTACCCCGACCCGAACCCCGCCCCGAAACAATTCAAAAACCCCGTACCCCGACATACCCGCCCCCGAGCGTTCGGGGTCAAACCCTAGTTTAGAGTTGACCTTTAGAGTCATTTTACCACTAGGGAATTGACCTTTCGTGGTATTGCCCCTCTGGGTGGACCTGCTTGCGGACGGTGATGTCTGTTAATGTAGTTCCCTGCATTTTTTTGCCTAAACGAAAAACCTTTTACATGTAAAGAAAAAGGGAACTATTATTTGTTTCATTCTGATATTTAATTTGCCTTTCCAAGAGAAGAGTTGACCTAGAAATCATTTTATTTTGTGCTGTTATTTTATTTTTTAATTTTATTTTTTCAACAAAAAATCATTTTATCTGTTAGAGCAGGGCAGGACGCAGTTAAGGTTTTTCCGAAATGCTTTTTCTATTTGATCCAATCGAAACAACTCTGATCCCTGATCCAAATCTATTCCCCATCCTTTAACAGGACGGAATCCCTATTTAACTATTTGTTTAGGACATTAAGTTGCCTTACTTATCCCAGGGTTTAGGCTAAACCGAGCTTCCCTTTCCGATTAACCCCCGCTTGGGGAGACCCCATTTTAACTATACTAAAAGTGAGTGGGTTAATATCTCGAACAATCTCAATGACAGGGACTTGTGTTCGAGAGCTGGAAATCCTACAGGGTCCATCTTCAAGTTAACCAATTCATCTTAGTAACAACTAAGACTCCAAAAAATAATAATCTACGGACAGAAATTCTCGAAGGTAGCAAGTCATCCTATGCATCAATATTTAGCATTTTCTTAAATTTTTTATTTAATATTAAGCATTCCTGAAAAAAATTTTTTAATTTTAAAAATTTGAAAAATTGCGGTTGGTACACTCCGAGATAATATTGGCTCACATCCCTGCTTTCTCGATTAAAAAATCTTTTTTTAACATCAAAATAAATTTTAATTTTAAATTAATTTCAGATTTTAAAATATTTTTTATTCCACCTATCTACAATTAAAATTGTTCACAAATGGCATTGAAACGAATTCACAAGGTTGGTTTTTAATCAAGGAACCAACTTGGGAGAAATTAAAAATTTAATTTTCGAATGTCAAAAGAAGTTCACTTAGTCAAAACAAGATCTGTAATCTCGATTAGGCTCTTGTCCAGTTCATGAGCCCCATGAGAATTTATGAGCTATAAGCCTATGGTTGTTCAATTTTCAGGGGTCTATATTTAGGTCAAATCAAGTCGGATTTTTTTGATTTTGGTGTCATTCGACGCAGCTCGACGAGTTCTATAACTTTAGTCAGACTGACCATTTTTTAATACTTTGATGGAAAAAAAGAGGGGGGGAACGAAATTGAATATTACCGTTTTTTTAATTGAAAAATTTGAAAAATTTGGTATTTTTTTTCTTCCATCTATCAAAAATTAAGATTTTAATCAAATGGCATTGAAACGAATTCATAAGGTTGATTGTTAATTATAACCATAACTGAAAAATTTTTTCATTTTTCAGGAGCTTGTCGACTTTGGAAAAGAACATCCAGCTTTGTGTAATGCAGGCCCAGTCGGGGAGGACCTCTGGAATTGGCAAGCAACCATTACTGGGCCTCCAAATTCGCCTTATCAAGGAGGAGTGTTTTACTTAAACATTAACTTCCCGCAAGATTATCCGTTTAAACCTCCACAGATTAGCTTCAAAACACAGATTTACCATCCAAATATTGACAACGGGGGATGTATTTTTTGGACATTCTTAAACATAAATGGACGCCGGCATTGACTATTTCTAAAGGTAATTTTGGCAACGAGGGAAATCCGTTTCTGGACAATACAACGTCCCTTTGGGAGGTATACTGAAAATAAGTTTTTTCATATGTAAGGACTAATGTCCGACAAAATTGATTTTTCCGAACTCGGATTTGTAACTTGAGCCGTAACGGATTTTTCCGGATTAATCCGATACGGTTTTAATCCGGATATCACGAAGAAACCCGGATTTGGGACCAGAAAATTTACGTCCGGATCTGGATTCTGACGGTCAACAGTAAGGCAAGGGCATAATCTGACCTTCTGTCGCCCCTAATGCACTTTTTAACGAGGAATTTTAGTGGAGTTTAGAGCAAACATAGGCCTAAGCATTGCTTGGCTGGCAAAAAATAAAATCTTCTCAGACTTGCTACACGACTTGTTATGTTTAGTTAACGCATATGTATCTAAATCAAAATTTATATAAATTAATTAATATTGTGTAATTATGCCTGAATTAATTTTATTATTTAAAAGATGATTGTTATTTTATTAATTTGAGAATAAAGTTTGGTTGGGATTAGAGAAAATACGACCCTTTGTATTTAAGTTGTTTATTTTTGTAAGCCAAGCAATGCCTAGGCATAAATTCTCAAAATAATTTGAGCATGCTCTTTGGATTATTCCAAGAAACAACATTAACAAACGTTGATGTTGATATTTCCTGATTGACATTTGGGTCGATGTCGTTTCGTAAGGCGACACATAGTCGGACGATGGTTTGCCCTGTCACGGATTCCCACCCTTTCCAAAAATTGGTAACAGGGTTTAGTTAGCTGAATAACCAGGGTTCCGATCTTGAATTTTTAATAACCCGCAATTTTGAGCTAAAAATCCGCATTTTATATCAAAAATCCGCAAAAAAGGATGTGAGGATTTTGGAAGGCCTTAAGCTAAAAAATGACAATTAATCCTATCAACCATAAGAAAATATAAAAAATCCTCATAATCTTCAAAAGCCCACAAAAATTTGCATATCCTCATTTTAAAAATAATCCTCATAGACCTATTAAGAAACCACAATCCTTTCCTTACAAATCTCCTCAAAATTCTCGTAATCCCTCATAGTCCCCACAAATCCATCAATCTCCCTCTCAATCCCTTAAATTACACTGTATGTCCCTTAATCCTCCGATATACCTCACTGACCAATTGCCACTGACTCATTGTCTGGGAGCCTACATATCAAAGTCATGTGAATAACTTGAAGTCAAATCACAATTTTTTGCAGAGTACATATCTCTAATTTCAATTTCCAGTTTTGCTTTCAATTTGCTCTCTTTTCGACGATCCAAACCCAAAAAGTCCGATGAATCGGGAAGCTGCCGATTTATACGTAAAAGATCGTGCTGCTTACAATCAGTGCTTCGAAGCTCGTACCAAAATTCGTACTCGTACCTCGTACTCGTACTCGTACCTGGTACGAAGTACGAGTACGAGTACGAGCAAAAAAATGGAGCAGGTACGAAGTACGAGTACGAGTACGAGGCCAAAAAAAGTGAAAAGTACGAGGTACGAGGCCTAAGTACGAGCTCGTACTTCTCGTACTTGGTGTTAATAGGAAAATTTAAGAAATATATTTAATTCCTTTCATTCTCCATTATATGAGCGGGTGGCCGAGTGGTGAAGGTGCGTGGCTGCACCAAAGTCTTTAATGATTTAATATTGGGTTCGATTCCTATTCACTGGACAATGAATTTTAATATTTTTCTTTTCATAATTAACTTATTTTATAAGTTTAATTTTGTTTTAAAAATTATTTTATTTTTACAGGGAGTAATTATGAGATTTTGACCTTCTAAAATTATTAAATATTTTTACTTTGAACACTTGAATGTGAGTTTTTTTCACCTACGGCCTTCCGGAATTTTCAAAATTTTCGCCTGCGGCGCAGAAAATAGAAGAAATCTGACTTAAGGGCATCCAAAATGCACAAAAATTTCGCCTGCGGCGCAGAAAATTGATGAAATGGGAGGATTTATTGCTACAAAGCCTTTCAAGATTCAAAAATTATCGCACAAACGCTTAAAATTTAAAACTAGATGTCCTGGGCTCCAAAAAATCATAAAAATTTTTGATTTTTTGCTTTTTTCTCAAGTACGATAAGTACGAGGTACGAGGCCAAAAATAGGGGTGGTACGAGGTACGAGTACGAGTACGAGCAAAAAAATAGGGGTGGTACGAGGTAGAGTACGAGGCCAAAAAAAGAGGTGGTACGAAGTACGAGAACGAGCAAATTTGAAATTTCGAAGCACTGATCTTTACTCAATTGTGAACTTACTAAATGTCGTTTGTCAAACCGATAGAGGAAATGTATTTGTACATACTATGTTGTATTTACTACCTTTAGATACCCTCATTAAGTAATTTATCAAATTATAAATGTTTTATTTGCGAAGTTACACAACAAAATCATGATTGTCTCGGTCCTATAAAATACCTATTTGATTAAACCGCATATGTGTGATCTGATTTTAATAAATAATATTTTCTTAAATCTGTATGTTTAAAGTAAGCTTTTTCTATAAATATTCAGATAACTCGAAATTGTTTTATTTGCGATGCTACTCATACACCACACTGGTACCGACATTCAAAACCAGGACACTATTTATGTGCTGCTTGCTACATTAAACAGAAAAGAATGAAGAAATCAAATAACGAAGGCAGTTGGTTAATTTTGCATTAAAATTTAGTTTACTTTGATATTATAGATCGAATTTGAAAGCGCTACAATTTGGGGAAGTCAGACTACACAAAGCGATGAATGGTTAGAAATGAGTATAAAATAATATAATTTTGTTATCAGATTTCAATTAGATTTTTTAATTTCTGACTTTTTTGCTTTCTTTAACAAATTTCCATTCTCGTTTCTGAATTCTTTAATTTTTCGATTCCTTATCATTTAAAATTTTCTTTCCATCTTTTATCTTTTTAGTTTTGATAAATATTGTCCAGGTTTTGAAAGGTCAACTCATCATTTTGTTTGATTAATTCCGTAAATATAATAATAATGATCCTCCTTAAATAAATTTTATTAGAACAGTTTTATTTAAAATGACTTTTCCGTATTCAAAATTGATGTTGAAGATAGGTCTAAGGGGAAAATTGGAGCTAATTGTAATTTTTATCGATTTTTTATCAATTTCACAATTTTAATTGAACCGTGCCGTACGAGTCTTTTTTAGGCCAAAATTCGATGCTGATTCGATCGGCGTATTGACAGAAGACCCACAGACAAAAGACCCAAAAGAAAAATTTAAAAAAACTTAAGAAGAAATTTTCTGAAATTTTTGAAAAAGCTTGTTTATTTTTCTAGGCAAAAGATTAAAAAAAAATTTTAAAATATTAAAAAAAATTTTATCTCACAGTTAATCAATAAAAAGTTGATTAATGAAAAAGTGAATTGAAGAGTCGAGTGATTAATTGGAATATGTAGAATATATTTAGAGGATATAGGGCTGAAGCTAAACTAAAACTTGAGAAGAGAAAAGACCTAGAATCGTGAGTCAGTTTTGGAAATGACCCCGGGAGTCGGAATCGAGAGTTTTATCTTTCTTTTTAGCTCTCTCCCTCTTCATGTGAATTTGACAATTATGAAAATATGAGCCGCAAATGTATGCGCATCAAAAGATAGAAGTATATAAACCGATACGGATATAGACTTCACAGACTTCACGGAATTACAGCCCATCTCTTCTAAACAACTTTTTCAGAGTCCTATATTCTTTTACTATTTTCTTTAAATTTGCCTATCATTTAATGTTAAAAATAAAAATCATATTAAAATAAATCATAAGATTTTAATTAATCAATGTCAGATGGTAATTTTTTATTTTTTTCTTCACTATTTCTTCTCTCCTTGCTCACTCGCCTCAATATTTCCACACTATCTCTTCTTTTAACTATCTATAGCTATTATTCTTCGATAATATAGAATTCTTGTGCCTCCATCCCTGTCTATTAAAAATCTTTAAAAGATTTTACCTCCTTGCTGCTTGTATATTAATTCTCTTGAAAGCCCTATCTCCTTACTTCACCTTACTCATAGCTGGCTGCAGTCTCCATTATTCAAAAGCGTTTAAAAATTTTTTTCATTTTTAAAAGAAAAAATGAATACATATCTTCAATGTGGTTGAGGATCCTAGAAAATTTTTATAAATTTTTAGTGTTTTTACGTTAGGGCAGTTCTAAATTAGTAAATAGTATGCGAAACGTATAATCCGCATAGATTGTAGATAGTAGTGATGCTCGGGAGAAGAAAAGACCTGGGATAGGGAGTCAGTTCCGGAAATGACCTCGTGAGTCGGGATCGGGAGTCGGGAATTTTCAGAAATTTTATACAAATGTTAAAAAATTTTCTAAACATCAAAAATACGGAGCCTGTTATAATACCAAAAGCTTGTAATACCAAACCCCCAAAAGCTGTTAAAATACCAAACCGTGGAAAAAAGCTTGAAATACCAAACCCACAAATGCTGTTAAAATACCAAATCGTGGAAAAAAGCTTAAAATACCAAACACCCAAAAGCTGTTGAAATACCAAAGTGTCGTTCCAATGTCAGGGGATGTTGGCTCATTGATCGGGGGAAGTTGTCCCGTGAACGGGGGATGGGTGATTTATATGTCATTCGAAAGAGCTCGTCGAGCTGAGTCGAATACGCGGAAAAAAGTTTTTGCCGCTGCGGAGGAAGCCGGGCATGTCGAGCGGAACGACGGCCGCCGCTTCGCTACGGTTGCCGCAAGCGAAGCGAGCACGACCGCAGCGAAGCACGGCCATCGTGTAGCGAAGACCATGCCCGGCCTACCCTCCGTAGCAGCACAAAAACAGTTTTTCCAGCGAAGATTCAATTGGAACAACAACATACTTGTGGTTGGAAAAATTTTGAAGTTCGAAGCAACAAAGTTTAACAAAAAATTTTAACAGAAATAACAAAAAATTTTAGTTTTGTATTTATTTGGTATTTCAAGTCT